TAGGAGTTATCGCTTCACAAGCTCTTCTTATTCTTTCCATCATATTCAATCTTGTCGTTGGAGCTATATACTGCACCTTTCACTATATACTGCACCTTTAACGTATCCCCATAAAAAGAAATCAAAGGAGTTCAAATCCGGTGATCTCGGAGGCCACAGAACTTTTTTTTTTTTTGTGACGCAGGGGAAATGCGTTACGCATCCCCACCTCCCCCGGGGGAGGGAGACAGGATATGTGGGACTCTCTCCCCAAAACTGCTGTTCCGGGGAGCCTACCCACTAAAATCCCTGCGGGCGTACCTAACCCGAACGTCTGGGGTCCGTCCGGGAATTTTACATCTGTAGTACTTCCGGATGGACCCCCGTTAATATACGTAGTAACGTATCCTAACCATGTATGTACATGAGGGTGGGTAGACGCCGGCTACCCACCCTCTCTTCCCCTTTGCCCATCTCGAGGGGGACATGGACCCCCGTCCATGACCCCATGGGCCTTCCCTCGAAGGGCCAATGGCAAAACCCTTGGCTCGGCCTTCGAGTTCTTTCCTGCTTATGACTACTTCTGAGTCCGATGGCCCCGCTATTCGGTGCCATCGTATGACTCCTCCTGTCTGCCCCTAGGGCACGTGGGCCGCGGGGAGGGTAAACTAAATTAGAGATGGAGAAGCCCCCTCCCCGCGGTGACGATGTTCGAGTCTATCGTTCATCTGGCCGCCCCGTTAGTCGGTACGACCGTCCTACCTATCTCGACGTGATCTAGCATCCCTGGTTCTTCTAAACTATCTTTAACCCCCCTATTATTTACTAATCTAACCTAACCCTAATTAAATCCCCACTATTCGCCAGGGATGCATTTCCCGCGCATTATTCCTATCGCTTATTCTACTAATTCCCGGTGTCGAGCCTCTCTCTCCCTGGCTCTCTCCGCTTCTTTCTTCTTTGTCATTACTTCTTCGCAGAAGTTTAGAACCGCCTGCTTTCCTTCCTGTTTGCACATTGCCCTTATGACGGCCTTTAATGATAGGTCTGCGCCTACTACCCTACACAGTTCCGCGCGTTCCTCGTCCCACGCCGGGCAATAGCCCAGGGTGTGCCTGGCAGAGTCGTTCGGTGCATCGCAGTGCCAGCATCCGTTTGTGGCCTCCCTCCCGATCCGACACAGGTACCTCCCGAAGCATCCGTGCCCCGTGAAGACCTGCGTCGTCCGGAAGGAGAGGCCAACTTCCGCGTGAAGCCACTCCTTTAGCTGTCCATTCACTGCTTCGAGGATGGTGTCCTCCCCTACGGTTGTATCCTTTAGCCATTCTCTCCATCTTCTTATCATTTTTCTCCTCGATGATTCTTTGATGGAATCCACCTGGTTCTTATTTATTATGTTTCCTCTTTCTTTCAGGGTGGTAACCCTCTCAAAGATTTCCTCATAGCAAGTTGCTTCTATTTCCCATGGTGGGGTTCCTGCTAACGTCGAGTTCACCGCGTGTGAGGTTGTCCTGTACGCTCTTATAATCCTACCCGTGATCCTGCGTTGGACCCCTCTTAATATTTAGCCTTCCTATTTTTTAGAACCGGGTATGCCCATATTGGCGCCCCGTATAAGGCAATTGATTTTATAACGTTAGTGTATAGTTTCCTAACCCTAACGTTAGGTCCCCCTAAGTTCGGTAACATCCTGCTTAGTGTGAGGGCGGATCCCTCCAGTCTGGGCGCAAGGTCCGTAAAATGGTCAGTAAATGTCCATTTGCTGTCTAGAGTTAGACCCAGGTACTTCATCCTTTGGCCGACCCTAATCTCGGTTCCTGCGATATTTATCGAGGAGTTCGCTGGTTTACCTTTCGTATGAAAGCCCACGATTTCTGTCTTAGATGGGGCTATTTCTAACCCCATCTCCTCTATCTTTTGAATGACTGCGCCTGAGGAGAAATTTGCTTCCATCGTTGCTTCGTCCCAGTCATCGCCAGACACCAGGATTAGCGTGTCGTCTGCATAACAAATTATGCATCCTTCTATTTTTTTGTTCTCCTTCATAACGTCGTCGAATCCAATGTTCCACAGTAATGGCCCTAATATGGAGCCCTGTGGGACACCTCTCCGCACTACCCTCTCACCCATGGTCGTCGTTTTTTGGAAAGGAGAGTTTCCTGTCACTTAAGTAGTCCCTTATTGTTCTTCTTAGATATGACGGGACTCTATGTTTGTTTAACGCCTTCCCTATTATCCTCCATGGCATAGAGTTGAATGCATTTTTGATATCGAGTGATATTCCAATTACTACTTTCCCTTCCTCAAACGCGGAGTCCATGTAATCTTTAGCGAACGAGATTGCGTCAATAGTCAATCTACCTCTCCTGAAGCCGAATTGTCTCTGGTGGAGGTTCGGTCCTCTGGATTCTAGATGGGAGATTATTCTTTCCGAAATTACCCTTTCGAGCATCTTCGCCTCGTCATCCAGTAGGCATATTGGGCGGTACCCTGCTGCCTGATCGTCTGGCTTATTATGCTTCCCGAGTAGAATCAGCTTGGCCTCTTTCCACTTTTTCGGAAACCTGCCGTTTTTGAGACAGGCTGTGAAAGTATTTCTCAACTCTTTCTCCATGTCCTTTGCCGCTACGTCCCAAGCTTTCGCTGGGACTCCGCTAGGCCCAGGGGCCGCATCCTTTTCCTTCATCTTCTTCGCTGAGAGCATGAGCTCCTCTTGCGTTACTTTCGGGTCTTCTCTCCAAGCCATTTCTCCCTCGTTTGGCAGCTCAGGTTCCCTCCAGTCGTCCTCTGTCTCTCCTGGAAAGAGTCCTCCGAGAACTCTGTCCAGTGTCCCGCTGTTTAGAGATTCGGTAAAGGGAGGAGCCCATCTTCTGAGTTTATTCATTACGGCCTTATACGGCCTACCCCAAGGATCTTCATTTAGGGTCATAACGAATTCCTCCCAGGCTTTCGCTTTAGCCTTCCTGATTGCCTTACCGAAAGTATCTCTGGCTAGCCTGAACTCGCCCAATCTCAGTTGGAATTCCTCTTCGTCTTGGTATGTTCTTCTTCTCAGTCTTCTTATTCTTCGACGAGCTGTAGAGAGGTTCGCCCTCAGTTCGTCCAGTTCTGCAGACCACCAAGGCATGGCTTTGTGCATTCTGGGCTCGATCTTAGGCATAGCTATATTACAGGCGTCTGTCATGGTGTCTTGCAGTCTTATAGCCGTCTCTTCTATCTCCTCTCCTATTGCATCTTCAGTCATGTTGTGTCTGGGCCAGCAGCTGGTTATTATGGCTGCCGATAACATGTCCTTATTCATTTTCTTTGTTGCCCATCTCTTAGGTTGTGGGAGACGCTCTTTCGTTCTTTGCATTTTAGTGTCCTTGATCTCGATTTCTATGTACCTGTGATCCGTTTTACTCTCGCGGTCCGATACTTCCCACGATATGACTCTTCTGGCAGCTGTTGGTGAGGCAAATGAGAGGTCTACTATTGACTCCCCTGTGTCTGACGCACGTGCTTCTACCTCCGTGGTTGAGACAGCATATGCCCAGACGACTTGCCCATTCCACCACTATCTTTCCTCTTACATCTGTAGTTCTTGACTGCCACAGGGCTGCTTTTGAGTTGAAGTCTCCCAACACGTATATCGGAGTATTACCTATCTGTTGTATCTCATCCTCCATTTCTTCGAGTGCTTCTTCGAAGTGTCTCGCGTCCAGGCTAGGGGGTAGGTATGTGCCGAACAAAATCATGTCGCCCCACCTTATCGATGCATAGTGTTTACCGCTTTTATGCGGTGTGCAAGGCAGTGGGTTGCGAGTACACCTCCATGTAATTGCGATCAATTTGTCTCTATTTCCGGTCCAATGTGGATGTTTTAGCGGTATCTTATATGGTTCGGAAATCACCGTCACCGCAAATTCTCCTTCTGCCATAGTTTGTAGAAGTACTTCGTGACCATCCCCAGCATGGTTTATATTTGCTTGGAGGATCTTGTTATACATTAATTTTGTCTGTATGTTGGAGTCCTCCTTCTACATTATCTATACTTCCCGGTGCTTCCTGGGTGGACATGGTCCATTCTTGGCCTCGTTCTGGCCAATCCAGCGCTGCTTGTAGAGGCTGGTTGCTTATAGCGCTTTCCGGCCTATTCTCCTCTACTTCCATCTCCTCTGTAATTCTTCTGTCTTCGGATTTATTTCCTTCCTTCACGCTGCATTTCGCTAGTTGCCTGATGACGCTAGCTTCCCTTTCTTTCCCCTCTTCTTTTTCAGGGGTGTTCTCCCTTGGTTTTTCCACGTCCATTTTCGTGCTCTCCGGGTTTTTATTCTGACCTTGATGAGGATCCTTACTTGTTTTTTCCTCCCTTTGGGTCTTTCTCTTAGTTATCGGAGGCTTGCAGGCTGACCCGCCCATTCTATGATTCGCTTTCACGTTCTTGGCTGCGCAAATTGGGCAAAATGCCTGTTCTGCGCATCCTTTTGCTATGTGACCAGGAAGGCCGCATCTGTAGCAGAGTGCGCTTCTGTCTATTTCATTGCCACACTGTTTTTTAATGTGTCCGGGTTCCAGGCATTTATAACAGAGCATGACCCTTTCGGGGAGTAATTCTACCCTCACCGTTGTCCAACCAATTCTTATCCGTTTGTTCTTTGTAACATTTTTTGCTATGGCCAACGGACAGCGAACCCATAATGTTCCTAGTCCGTTGTATGACGGGATTATCTCCCCCATTTTGTGGCAGCAAACCCTTTCATGGCAGCTCCCTAGTAGTGTGAGAGTCAAAAGAATGTCCTCCTTCGTTGTGGATTCCTCTAAATCCTTAATTCTAAATTCTGCCGTTTTTTCCGGTCTTGTGATAAGTACGTCCTCCTGACCCTCTAGCGCTGTTTTGAGCTTCTCAGCTAGTTTGTCCGCTTTGCTGCCTCCTTCTGCTCCTGGAATTTCCAGAAGCAGCGCCCCGGATCTGGATTTTCTTGGCCTTACCTCGTGTATTCCCATGGCATCTATGTCCACTTTCTCTTTGGCTACCCGCATTACTTCTGCATACGTAGCTTCTCCCCGACAGCTGATTTGGGAGCTTTTCTATTTTTATTTCCCTCCGTTTGTACTGTCTTTGAATTTTTAGCCGGAGTAGAGGTCATGGTGGCCTTTCTGGCACCGGAATTGGGCGGTATGCCCGTTTTCGCAGTCTTTTTCTCCTTTCTTCCTATTACTTTACTCCATGGGAGTTCTTTCTTCTCCCGGTCCGTTTCCTCTTCCGTCGTAAGAGTTCTCTTCCTTTCTTTTTCCATGTTTTTTCTCGGGGTCTCCCTGGGGGTGCTTTTATTGCTTTTAAAGTCTTCCTTTTCTTGCTTGTTTTTATTTCCAAACTTCTCTGCTTCTTTACCCATGATTAAGGGTTCCTTAAGAGTTTGGATTTCTGTAATTCTTGGTTTTTTGCTGTTACATCTATCCAGTTCCTTTGCCACGATATCTCTTATCAAATTGGCTAACTCGGAGGAGTCGATGTCTGAGATATTCTTTCGATTTTTATGCCCTTCTTCTTTTCCTTCCTTAGAAGATTGGCGTTTTTCTCCATTTTCTTTATGAGACTGAGATGTATTTTTTATGAGCCTCGTATATTGCCCTTTGTGATGTCGGGTCTTCCTCGATGATTTTACGTTTTCCACAAAGAGTGGGTCTCTTTACTTCCGGCCACTTCTTTGGGTCATCTAAAGAGACTTTCTTACACTTTGGAGATTTCTCGTCGACTTCCATGTGTTCTGATTCAGATGTGATCAGTTTATCTCTCGCCTTTATGTTTACGGACGGAGTTCTCCTGGAGTTAGACTTCTTCGGCGTTTCCGAAGGAGACTTTGCTGTTGACTTCCCTTTATTGTGATCCTTTTCTTTTGGACTGGGAGTCTTGTCTTTTCTTTTGTCATGCTTCTCCTTCTTGAGGGCCTGCAGTTCGGACCTGTAAGCCTCGGCCTCTCCTGCCGCCTGCAGGGCCTTTCTTCTCTCTCTCTCTATTTCCTCTTCCATCTTTAATTTTATCCTGGAGATTTCTCTTTTGAGCGATTTAATTTCCTGTGACTTCGCCTCTTCCTTCGACAGTGACATTTTCTCTTTCAGGATCTCGGCGATACCCAGGGATGTAGCTGCTGCGAGTTTCAAACTTTTTTGAAATGTCCCCTTGAGATTGCTGGATGTTCTCGCAATTCTAAGGACTTCGGCGCAATTACCACTGGCTTTAGTTATCAATTCATCGATTGAATTTTCCTCCAGTTGTTCCCTAACTTTGACCATGTCGATCTTTGCTTTTTTGAAAAGTTCTACCTCGCTGTATTCTCGGATAAGTTTTTCCCTATCTAGCTGTAGGGCCTCCTCCTTAGCCTCGTTATACCGGAGAATCGCTTCTCTTCTACCGACGTAATCTCCGGTGGTCCTGCTCCTCCTATGCTCGGAGTCCGCGTCGGAGGCTATCCTCTCTCTCTTTCTGTTCCCCGGTATTCTTTGGGAACCCTTGCTGCCGATGTTAATCTTTTCGGGGGGAGACGCATCAGAATCTTCTTCTATTACCGCCCTTTTTCCCCTATTCCTCCCGTAATCGGTCACATCGCTATCCGACGAGCTGATTTCATACGTTTCTGTGTCTATCGCGGATGAGTCCACGCTTAGACGATCCGCCCTCCTTCCCTTGTACGACCTCGGACCTGGCTTCTTGAAGAAGGAGGTGGAAGGTTGACTATAACTCTCCCTGATCCTTGGTCCTTGACTCACTCGGTTGGATCTCCGTGCCGTACACCGGGAGAGAGTATTCCGCCTGTCTCGGCTCCTGCGTTTGAGTGTCCTTCCTTTCCAGTCCTCCTGTCATATCCTCTTCCTGGTCTATGTTCATCTCTTTGTCCGTGTCGATTATTGTAATCGTCGAGTCTAATTTATCTTGTTCGCTATTCATTTTGGTTTAATCCCACTCCCCGTGTTGGCTGCGCCTTCCAGGGTATACCCTCCCCGCCAATTGCTTGGCGGGGCCCTGAGTTCTCCCGAGGGGAAGGCATGTGCCTCGGGCCCGCGGAATGTGCATCGCGGGCACTGGGTTCCAGCCCCCCCTGGCCTTCGGCTAGGGTGCAATGCCTTAGGTTTTCGGGGGACCCCCGGCTCCGACCGCGGGGG